TGATCTTATTTGGAAATAGGGTCATTGCGGATGTAACTGGTTAAGGTGAGGTCATACTAGAGAAGAGGGGCCTTTGCTCCAATGTGGCTGATGTTCTTATAAGAAGAAACCAGACACCAAGTGATGATAGCCTGTGGGGACACAGGCAGAGATGGAAGTGCAGCAGCTGCAAGCCCAGGAACGCTGTGGATTGCTACAAACTACCAGAAGCAAGGAAGAGGAAGGAAGGATTCAGAGGTTTCAGAGGGACCACGGCCCTGCCAACATCTTTGGTCATAGACCTCTAGCCTCTAAGACTGTGGAACAGTCCCCTTTTGCTGCTTTAAGTCCCCAGTTTGTGGTACATTGTTATGGCATCCCTGAGAAATTAATACACTGTGCATGCCAAGAATGTGGTACCCTGGCTTCTCCTTCCTGTTTGTTTCTCAGGATGTGTTAGTAGGGAACATCATTTGGGGATGAGCTAGTATCTCCATCCTGGACAATGGGCACGCTTGCTTATTGTTCATTATAAAAATGGTGGATTTCCTAAGTTCAGAGTTCCTCAGCTGTGAAGTGAACCCACTGTATGTGCAGCAGTATTTGGATTATATCAGGCTACCTCCATGGGACTTAAGGTGAGAAGGGAGCCAACACAAGCTGAGACTCATGACTCTTGTCATATTTTTTTTTTTTTTTTTAGTGCTGGGGCTCAAATTTAGGGCATCACAAATGCCAGGAAAGTATTCTACCACTGATCCATATCCTCATTCCCTGTGATGGTTATCTTTAGCTACCACCTACGAAATAGTAAAGGACTAACTTATTTGCTTGTAAATAAAGTAAAATCAAATCCTAGGCCCAACAAATTCTTGAAAAGAATCTCATCCCTGACCCACTTCCCAAGGGTGTTTTAGTGAAAGGATTTTACAGGGATCTGTTATCAAGGAGCTCTGGACTATGTTTGGAGATTGCATATACACAGGATAAGCCAAATAAGATGCTGCAAATAGTAGTTGAAGAATTATTATAACATTATTACAATATTATTCAAATCCCAAGTTCAAGGATACACCATAAAGGTTGTGAGTTAGCAGGGAAAACAGAGTGCTGTGGGCTGGGGTTCAAAACCTTGCAGGAGAGCTACAATTAAGGTGTGGAACGTGGCTTCAATTTAGACAGTAGCATTGATAGGAGGCACAGGATTCAGGAGAAAGGGCTGTTGTTATCACATTCCTTTATGATTCCAGGATATTTGTTCACATCTGTATGATAGTATTCATTACATAAGGTTAAAGTCAGCAGCTTACATGTCTGCCCCTGTCTTGGAGAGCTTTTTAAGGGGAGTGATATATTTTATTTACTTAAAAAGATCTTTGACATCTGTCACATAGTAAGCACGTAGTAAGTGTGTAAACAGATTGATGAATACATGGAGGAATGAAGATCATAAGTTCATAATTCGATGGAACATTTTACCTATGTGACAACAGAACATAGTCAGGTAGGTGGCCTTGTGCCATACTGGGGAAAGATCTCAAATGCCAGGATAGGGGAATTGTTAGTAAAGGACAGAGGTGACATTAGAGTCATTCCAGAAAGAGTTATTTAGCAGCAATGGGCATGTGGGTCAGATACAGAGGAGGAAAGCTTTGTAAGGCCATATTACAATTGTCCAGATCCAAGATGCCCTATTGTAATTTTGCTTTTTAAAAAGATCCATGTATTTTGACACAAAAGATTAACATCATGCTCCTGTGAGTCAATAGGGAAAGAGAAGCTAGGATAGTTGTGTGCCATTTATTGTAGAACACCAAGGATGACCCGCAGAATCTTGTGATTCCTCAGGATTTGTTCTATAGAGAGCTTTGCTGAGTAGTGACCAGATGGCAACTTTTCATGCGGTTATTTATCATCATAGGGAGAAGCAAATCCTGAGTAGCAGAGATGCACCTACCAGTGTCTGTAGAGCTGGCCTCTCTTGCAGCGAGGCAGGGTATGTCACTCCCCACTGCTAAGTGCCTTCTGTGCAAGAGCTTATATTAGATGCAAACTTGGATCTCACCTCCAGGTCTTCACATTTTACTAGCCTCAGTACAGAAGGTTAAGTATTTTCAATGTTTTCATAGGTTGAATTAAATGTCTTGATTCAGTGACCACTGCTGAATCCAGTGGAGAAAGATTTCTCCTTTGATCCAGGTCACTGCACACAATCTGCTTAACCAGCCCACTGGCAGACACCTGCCCCACTTCCTTGAACACAGGGGCCTTTGCTCCTGAAAAAGGAATAAAAAGCTCTCCACTGATGTTTGAGCTGCTTATGATGGGAAACACCAACCTATATTTCTGGCTATTGTGATTGTCTTTGGTCATCTGTTCTGGGATTAAAGGGATCTGTACAAAAACTTCCATACCAGTAAAATCAACAAGGAGGTCAAGGCATGCTTGCCCAACAAGCTTTTACAAGCTTTCTTATCTCACATCCCAGCTTTCTTTACCATCATCTCTTAAAATCAATGACTTATCTAGAATATTTGACTTTCAGAGGTGATCAGTTTTCCACCAACATATTATGAAGAAAATCAAACATACTGTTGAAAGAATTTTCTCGTATAAATGCTTCTCCCAACACTTAAATTCTACCATTATATGTTATACTTGCTTTGTTATAGAGCCATTCCTTTCTACTGGTTTAACTTTTCAACAACCTCTTCCTCTATATAGTAAAATTATGTTCAACAAGAATCACAAAATAAAATGAATGATTATAATAGGTAGAAAGAAACAATGATATTTTTTACTCAACTTTGTATATATAGTTATGCTGTTAAAAGTAAAATTAGCAAAATAAATATTACATATAAAACCATTAAGCCTTGCACTTCATGCTCTGTAAAACTGTATTAAATTTTAAATACAAATTAACACTGAATGGGCACATGGAAGACAGAAAAGGAAGGTCAAAATTCTGTTTGTCTTCACAATGGTTGTGCTGTTATTGTTTATTTCGAGTCTTCTGTTGAAATGCAGGAATATGGAATCCTTTGGGGACTGATGGAGGCAAGGACTCAGCCTTAAGTAAGTTCAAATGATTTCAATGATTCTAGACTGTTAGAACCTTGCTCTTGAAATGAACAAGTATTATAGAGTCTTCTTTCATTGGAGAACAACTGCACAAATGGGAGTTCTCCAAATTAACTTCTATATGACATTCATTATTTATTAAAATAACAGTAGTATAAGAATGTGCTCATTTGAAGCTTATATATGTATTAAGAAAATGCTGGGGCTCTAGCTTAGAGATAGAACAGTTCTCTAACATGCTTGAGGCTTTGTGTGTTCAATCGCCAGTACTACAAAGCAAACAAACCAACCAAAAAGCCCCCAGTTATAATGGCAGTGTTGTTTAGAACTTACTTACACTAATCAAAGCCTTTTCCCCTCTATGGAGGAGTATTTTGTTGTTCACATTATTTAGAATTGCTGGCATGATAATAAAAAGGAGGCTTCTGTTAGTTTTATAATTGTTTTTACCTTTAGTACATATAGTACAGTTTCCTATTATTTGTTGCCACGTCCCACTCTTGGTTGTGTCAAAAAGAAACAGAACAGAACACCAGTTACAGGCTATAAAGATAAATTATATTCAGTATGATTGCAATACAGGAAAAAGACTTCAGTATAGAGCTGAGCTCATTTGCAAATACAGCAAAGACAGCTGGGGACTTAGTGCCAATAAACAGAGTGAGGGGATCAGAAATGGAAAGTCTAAGAGGAGATATCAAGGGAGGGGGATTCTTGCTAAATTGACTTTACAGGATTCTTGCTAATACCTGGATAAGCTGGCTGAGGAGGAGGCCCAAGGATGAAGTCTAGTTGAAAAGAGGGCTCAGAGGTTCCTGACTAAACTTGGATTAAGGAGAGTCTTTGCTAAGAACCACTGCTTAGTACACATATTTTGCTAAATTAATAGAAGGTGAGTTTGTTTTTGAAGTAGCAGGGAAATAATACTGAAATGGTGAGCCATTAAAGAAACTTTACTTTTATATTTTCTAATTTTCTGAAACATTCTTAGTCATTTTGTCAAATGTCACTAATAAATAACAAAACCCAAGAAGAAAAATTACGTTACTACATGTCATAATTCTTATGTTATTCTTTTCTCCTCTAAGTTAGATCCAATTTCAGGCAGCTCACCTAGTCTTTACCATTTTAAGCCAGTTTCTTCCTTGCTTCCTTATACACAGCTCTTGATACTCAAATTGGTGCCCTGATTAGCAGACCAGTGTGTGCACTTTAAAGGGCGACTGATCGGCTTTCCACTGATGCCCAGTGCCCACAGGGAATGATGTGTTAATGTACTAGCAATAAGGGAAAATCCCACATTGCCCCTGAGGATTACTTTTCCTATCTTTGGATGTAATTCAGACTGATAATGGGAAGAATGGGAGAGATGGGAATAGGGGATTTGTATAAGAAAGGGCCTCTGGGTCTACTGAGGACTGCATAACCAAAGTGAGAAAAATGGAGGAAAAGCCTGCTAAGATAGTTTTCCAAGAAAGTGGCTGGAGCGTGGAGAACAGGTGGGAGAGGGCAGCCTCTGGAGCAGGCAAGAACTATCAGGTGCTGAGGATCACAAATTAGACCTCTTGGCAGATTGTAGGAGGTACCAGCAATAATTTTAATGATCTTTCAATATTTTGCCATTGTTGGACTGGGTTTCTAGTAAGGAAACTTTGCCTTGGGGCTGGCCTCCGAGAGTCCTTACTCATACTGGAGTTACATTAACATGTTTGGTTTGGGGTGGAAAGATGAGTGCTAGGTCCCTTTAACATTCACAATGTGGCCTTGAAGCTGCTTCAGTTTCTGAACTAGACCTGGTGGAGGTAAGTTGATTCCTTTCCTCTGAAAGCTAGCTTGACTGAGGTGACAGTTCCTGTCCGTTCTTCTTAGTGAGCACAGGAAAGGGTAAAAACTGGCTTGCAGACACCCCTGCTAGATGGTCACATTCAGGCACCAAAAAAATGGACAAAGAAAACGGTGATGCTTCATCCAAACCAGCTGACCTGAAAGTAAGTAGAGTGTGGGAAGCTTTCCCTCAGCCTTAAATGCCCTTTACTGTTGACCCTGTTAGTGAAATGAGGTTGTGTGACTTTCTAAAGATAAAGGGGGCAAAAAGGCAATCCTTTATCTCTTTATGGTACGTAATGGATTTTACAAATGTGAGCTTGTTTTAAAGTACTGTACTCAGCAATCGATTAGCAGCTGTTTTTCTAAAACTCCAGGGAAATGGTACTGATCTCTATACAAATTCCACTTTAAAATTTAATCAGGGCTAACTGAGACTATCTATAATGTGTTCTTGCACTTAATGATCCAACTTCAGCCTTGAGAGTTCTATGTGCATCGGCATTTCTGTGCACCTCTGTCTTTTACTTCTTTGGAGGAATGATTGAAAGTAGTTTGATACCAGAGTCAACTCATCTTTCAAGGGAATATTTTTCTCTGTGGAAATTCCACCTCACTCCTGCAGCACAGTGAAGCAAGTTTGGTCTAGCTCAATTTCTCCAGGAGGGATTCAAGCAACATTTTCACTGCAAGGGTTGACAAGAGTGTTTGGCAAATAGAATGAGGGAGCCATGAATAATTCAGAGTGTACTTGGCCACATATTATCCCATTAATTGGCAGGAATAAGACTGGAAGACATAAGTTCTGAAGGGAAGAGTGAGGAAGAGTAAAAAAAAAAAAAAGGAGAGAACTAAGGGCAGTGCCAAAGAGGGGTTATTTCTTCAGCATTGATGTTCTAGATTGTTGCCTCTAAAAGAATGTGTGGTTAAAAGTTATTTCATCGCTGGCATTTAGTTACCCTGACATGTATAAATCTCTTTGTCAAAGAAGCTAAACTTTCTTCTACATTATTAACAAATTCACAGCATCAGATGACAGAAGGTAGAGGAGAAAATTAAAGAGGAGGAGGAGAGGACAGTTAAATGATGCATTTTGTCCCTCATGCACTTCAGTACATCTAAACCAATAATTTTTATTTCTAACAAGTTCTTTGTTTCATTCTTTGCTGTATTTTAAAATCATTCTTCTGTTTATGACTGAGACACTGAGTCACCAACCAGTTCAGCCCTGGTGACAGTAAGACACGCATATTCTTCCACAACCCTACCCAACCATGGCATCATCTCTACTTTTCATGCCTACCTCTCAGTCACGAAGCCATAGACAGGAAATCCGTTTATTTCTGTGAGGATCTCACTTATATTACTATTTTCAATCCTGCCTCCATCCAGAAAGAACTAGTTATGAGAGAAAAGCAATATAATATAGACATTTAAAGGTCTTACAGAGAGCTGTGCATGCACATGAATCTACCCACACAGAATCTTTACCTTCACCCCTGAACTTTAGATCCCTCAGTTGCTTTGCTCCATGAAATTCAGGCTTCGGTTCCACAGCAGCTGTTCAATGGAGCTGGAGAGCTGGGGAGAGGATCTGGAAGCCATTGTATCAGGGTTGTATAATGTCTAGTTTTTCTAATTTTTTTTTTCTTTTTTGAGGTATGATACTGAGAACGGAACTCAGGGTCTCTCTGCCACTGAGCTATATGTCTCCAGTCCCTTTTCTTTTTTGAGAAATCTGCCATTCTCCTGCATCAGCCTCCCAAATAGCAGGGATTGCAGGTGTGGGTTGCCACACCCAGATCTAGTTTTTCTCATCTTCATCCTGTGACTAGGTACAAATCGACTTATTACGCTTACAGGAATAATTTGCCTGAATACAGTTAGGCCTCTTAGCACCTAGATCTCCTGACTGGGGAATTCCATTTACGCTCTTGACTACCTCTAACTGAAAATATATCTTTCTTGTTCTTTTCTTTTTTAGATATCCAATATATCAGTTCAGGTGATCAATGTCTCAGGGAAGCTGCCAGGGAGACGCCCACCAAGAAAGCCGGTTGGCAAAGCCAAACCCAACAAGCAAGCCAAGAAGACAGCGCCTTTTTGGAATGTCCAAAATAAAATCATTCTCTTCACAGTATTTTTATTCGTCCTAGCAGTCATAGCCTGGACACTTCTGTGGCTGTACATCAGTAAGTGAAAGTCTGTATTCCTCTAGGATTAAGCTTGTGGTATGAGTTCTGCTCAGCCAAGCAGGCCTAACCTGCCCTCGGGGTTTCTGATGGAATTTTCCTCTTTCCTAAACTGACACACTATTTCCAAAGCTGATGTGGAGAATTTTTAAGGAGAATGGAACCAGAACTGAAACCCATTTCTTCTTTTACCACCACCTCTTTCCTCCCATGGACAAGCAAGAGGAGAGATGGGAGATAGGATGGGAAAGGCTGAGGAGGAAGCTCAGGAGATTTCGAGTAGTTAAAAAATACAATGCATTTATTGCTTTTAAAAAACGAATGGAATGCAAGCTGTTTCATTTCCTTGTTCCACCCACTGTCTGTTTCTAGGCAACCTTAAATTTGCAGCTCCCTGAGCTCCATTTTATACACACATCTTTTTCTCCCTATTGTGTTTTTGTCAATCTGATCCTTTTGGACAGATGTGGCAACAGCTCTTTCTTCTATTTACTCATGTAACTCAGTGATTATAGCATGTATTGACTTGTCTTAAAGTTCTCATTCTATAGTTGATAGAAGATTCATAAAATGAATATGCATAATGACATAAAATGAAATGCATGTATTTGACCTCTGCCCCTGGTATCTGGCTCTGAGTTTCTAACACTCTTGTAATTTTCTGAGTGTTAGGTAGGATCAGAGCATCTTTTTTACATATATATAATATTTGATCTTAGTCCCCACTTCCTAACACAGAGCTTCTAAGGGTCTTTATTGTGTTGATGAGATGACTCATGGCTGAAAAGCCCTTAGAAAGCCAGAGGAACCAAAAGTGTGAGTAGGGGGCTATAGTTTTCTGTCCCCTCAAAGATGGGACAGGGAGAGGGACTGGAGATGGAGTCACTAATGGTCAATGATTTACTCAATCATGACTATAGCATGCAACCTCCATAACAACACCAGGCAGTGCAGAGAGCAGCTGGATTGGTAAAAGTCCTCTTGCTGGGAGAGAGGCATGCCCCAGTTCCACAGAGACAGAAGCACCTATGCTGTACCTGTTGACCTGACCACTTATTTACATTTTAAAAATAATATCCTGTATAACAAACCAACAATAGTAAATAGAGTTTCCTCCCCTGATTTCTGAGAGTCATTATAGCAAATTATCACAACTGAGAGGGTCATGGGAAACCCTAACTTGTAGAAGCTGTGTTGGCACCTAAAGTGATGTCAGTCTTGTGGGAATGAGCCCATAACCTGTGGGGCTCTGACACTCTTGTTGGATAGCTAGTGTAGGAATTAAATGAATTATTGGATGCCCAGTTGATGTTTGCACAGAACTGGAGCATTGATAGGTGTGTGTGTGTGTGGAGGAAACAACACCATATTTGGAGTTGGAAAGTGATAATGTGAATAAAAAACAAACAAACAGATTTCTTACTTGTATTTTCAAGGATTCTAAAATCTGGGTGGCAAAATTTATAGGCAAAAAATTAGTAAATAGTTTCTTGAATTGTTTAGGTCACTTATAAATCGATTACCTACAATTTGCTTGGCACAGATGCACTCAAATAAGCTTCAGAAAGTTCCTAGATGCATTTTTTTCCTACTTTCAAAAATCTCACAGTTCAGGGCAGGTGTGGTGGTGCGCGCCTGTAATCCTGGTGGCTCAGGAGGCTGAGGCAAGAGGATCTCAAGTTCAAAGCAAGCCTCAGCAACTTAGTGAGGTCCTAAGCTACTCTATGAGACCCTATTTCTAAATAAAATAGAAAATAAGGCTGGGGATGTAGCTCAGTGGTCGAGTGCCCCTGAGTTCAATGCCTAGTACCAAACCAAACAACAACAAAACAAAAACAAAAACAAAAAAACAACTCACAGTTCAGTACTGGAGAGAAGGTATGAATTGATTTTTTAATTGATAATTTTGTGATCATAGAAGAGAGGCACCCAGCTTGCCTAGGGGTGGAGTCCAGGTTCCTAAAAACTCATTTGATACATCTTTTAAATGCCCACTGTCTTGGCCCTTTTGGTAGGCATGCAGGACAGACTGGTAAACAAGATACAATTTCTATCCTCAAGGGGTTTACAGATTGTGGGGGAAGTCAAGTCAATGGGCCATCAAGACAAAGCCAAAAAACCCCAACTGAGAACAAGCCAACTTATTTCTAATCATTTGCCTGCCATGCCTCAACTGATACATTTGCATTATCCTAGAATTTTTGTATAAAATTTTGGAACATCCTTGTGCAGTAGTAGTTTATTGATTGTGTGAAAATCAGAGAAGGGCATTTCATGGAGAGAGATCAGCATGAACAAAGGGAAACAAATATGGAAAAGTAAGGACTCTTCAATATGAAACAGGTTAGTTTTGAGACATGAAAGTTGGGTGTAGACGGCAGCCTTGAGAAGTGAGGTGGATAGCTCATCAGGAAGAATGTGGAAGGATTTAGAAGTTGTGCTGAGCTAGAGTTAGGTACATGTAATTGTGTTCAATGCTAATATGATTTCTCTTGCAATTTTGCTGTTCTGACCCTTGAGTATTTATTGACATGAGAAGGACATGTGAGCTTCTAGAAAGAATTCATAGGTTTCATTCAAATTTAAAGAATCTGCAACTAGAAAAAAGAAAAAAAAACTTCTAAGAAGCATGTTCTTGATAAAAATAAAATGAACCCAAAAACATTTTTTTGCTTTTTGTGGGACACCAACTGAAACAAGATGATCGCCCAAGGTCAATAACCCAAAATAACAAATCTGAGGCAGGATTTCAGGTTTCCTGCCCTTGCCCTGTGCTTGGATACCCCTCCACAGCCTCACTACTCTGCTTGGGTCCAAAGTGACCCCGGGTGGGTCCTACAAGGAAGGTTGCTCGCTGCCACTCTGTAGATTTCATCTTCTTTTTAATTCAGCCATCATTTGCTTAGCATTGTGGTGTGGTGGGCCTTGTGCTAACAAGGATGTTCTCTTTCTCTCTTCTTCTACCCAGCACCTCCCTCCCCACCACCCTTCCAAAAGCAAACTTTTGTTGGACACCAAGGCCAAGCCAGGCACTGACTGCATGACAGGGGCAGAGGAAAATACATAGGTTACTGTGCATTCCCTCAGAGCTCACAAAGGGAGGCAGGCAAGCAGGCAGCAGCTCTGCTGCAGTGTGAATTATGCCATAGGAAAGAAAAGTGCCAGGGCCCGGGAGCCTGCAAGGTTGACCAAGAGGAGCAAAACCTGGGAAGCAAAGAGGAAAGGAAAAAAGGAGAGGCGCTCATGGCCCCCAGCCTCTGCTCTTTATTAGCTGCCCTAAAGCAACACAGAGGCAACAGCCTTGCCTTTGCCCCTCCTGCCTGCAGTTTCTGGCCTGGCAGAATACCAGGTTCCACAGTCCTCACTGGGCAGAAGATTGGAGCAGGAGTGACCTGCCACACTGGGCTGAAGGCCACACTGGGTGGCTTGTGGGAAGGATGAATTCCCATGTATTGGATAGAGCTGAAGACTGGCCCAGCACCTAGAATGTCAGGCCACACAAGTCACTTGAGGGACTAACGAGAGAGCTCCAGAGCTCAGTGACTGGAGTTCTTTCCCTTCTTTTCACCGAAGAGCTTAATGGTGTCAACTTTTTACCTCCCTACATTCCCCAGACTTGGGGTACATGAAAATTTTCTATGTTCTTTTCAATACTTTAGAGACTCCAAGATGTATAGATTTCAATCTTTAAGTCATTAAGTATTTTCCAGAAGCAGATTCTAAAAATGGAGCATTCTAAGAGGTATGTTGATTTGCTGCTGATAGAAGAGGTGTCATTAAGTACATTTAGAGCATCACAGGCAATGAGCCAGTAATGTATGCAGCTTCCTAAAATGAGGTCATTTCGAAGCCTCATACTGACATCCATCAAATGATGCCTGTGGCACACTGATTGGAAAGCCTCCTAATTGCCTTCTCTCCTCTCCCAGGTAAGACAGAAAGCAAAGATGCTTTTTATTTTGTTGGGATGTTTCGTATCACCAACATTGAGTTTCTTCCTGAGTACCGGCAGAAGGAGTCCAGGGAATTTCTTTCTGTGGCGGGGACCGTCCAGCAAGTGGTGAGGTGCTAGGGGTGGGGAAGGCAGTGGAGTGGGTGGGTTGAGGGATAGGGGAGGGGTCATCAGTGTCACAGGTGAGCTGGGTTTAGGGAAGTAGAGGACAGGGGGTGAAGGAAGCTGCCAGAGGGAAACATGGGCATTTTTTCTATAAAATAGAATCATTTCCCCCTGCTTAATATAAAAAGAAGTGGCTCTTTCAATTTTTATTTTTCTCATCTGCAAAATAAAGAAATTGGATCAGGTAAATTTTTAAAATGCCTTCCATACCTGAGGTTATGCATGTACTAATTAATGCTATCATTTACACATTTATGCCACCATGGTGCATTAATAATCCCTTCACTTTAAAAAAACAACAAACAAACAGACAAAAAACCAAAACCAAAAACAAAACTTCCAGAGACAGTGATGCAGGCTTGGAATCCCAGTGGCTTAGGAGGCTGAAGCAGGAGGATCGCAAGTTCAAGCCAGCCTCAGCAACTTAGCGAAGCCCTAAGCAACTCAACAAGATCTTATTTCTAAAAAATATTTTTTAAAAAAAGACTGGGTATGTGGTTCAGTGGTTAAGCCCCTGATGGGTTCAATCCCTGGTACCCAAACCAAACTAAACCAAACAAACAAACAAAAAAAAAAACCTTTCTCATTATAGAATTAATAAATATTTATTGTAAAAACCTGAAAGATCCAGAAAAGTATAAAAAAGAACATTAAAACCTTTAATGTCATCACTAGAGATAAAGCCCCTTTTTATTCTGGACTACATAGACATAGAGGATAATGCATACTGGAATTTTAGTGACAATTCAGTTTTACAATTTGACTTTTTTTCTCTTAACATTACTTTGCATGTTTCTGTGTTATTAAATATTCTTTTTAAAACACAAATTCTAATTGCCTCTGAGTTACCAAATCCTTTTTTATTGGGTGTTTAAGCTGTTTCCATTTTTTGCAACAACGGAAAATACAGTATTTTTTATGACACATAAATTGTGTGCATCTCTAATTACTTTCTTAGGTGATTTCTTTAAAGTGTAATTCCTTGTTCAATAGAAATATATCTATTCAGGGCTTATGGCACACATTGCCAAGTAGAACGTTTCTGCCAATTTTATTTCTACAAAATGGAGGGGGTTGCCCAGCAGAGGCAATGCACAGCCACCGTATAGTGTAGGATGAGGAAGGGAGAGAGAGAGACAGCAAGCAGTCACAGTGGCCCTTATTTACTGACTGCCTTCTGGACACTAGGTACTTTACCAATTGCTTCATCTCTGATACTTGTGCACCAATTATTCCTCAAATTATCCCAAGGAGGCAGGCATTTTGATCGCTCCTTTACAGAGGAAAAAACAAACAAAACAAAGAGCAACGGTGGCCCAGCAGATTTAGGTAATATGTTGCATAGTGACTTTAAACTTCAGAGCTCTTATTTTTACCATTGTGCCATATAATTTTTTGAGGTACTTTTTTCCAACCTTGGGCGACTAAGTAGATGGTTTTGCTATTATGTAGGAGAGGCAACAGAGGAGAAAACTTGGGAGAAGAGAATGAGCTTGGTTTTAGAAATGCTAAGAGAGCAAAAAAGGCACAGTGTTTTAAAGGGGCTGCATATTTCCAAAAGAGAGACTGTTTTGAAGGGGAATGGTGTGCTTCGCCCTCTAGTGGCTAATATGAAAATGTGTCCTTGAAAAATAATCAAATACTGAAAAGAGGTTTCATCAAATCTATGAAAAATGTGCTTAAATGAGTTTGGTTTGTTAACTCTGGAGACAATAATTGGAGTGGGCAAAGCATGGATGTTAAACTTGACTAGATTCTTTAAAGAGAGAAATAAATGGGCATAACCGATTATTCTTAAACAGCAGAATAAAAGTAGGTAATCCAAGGATTGCTGCAGGACGTAGGGATTTATCTTGATTAATTTTGATAATGTCTGAGTTTGGAATTAGAGACCACTAGTTTGAGGCTTGCTTTTCTCCTTGCTGGCTGTCAGAGTGTGGCCCTGCAACACACAGAGTACTGTGATAGGAAGCCAAGCTTGAAAGAATTAGGATACTTTCATTTTATTTTTCAGGTAAACTTTGTTTACACAACATCTGCCTTCTCCAAATTTTATAAGCAGTCTGTGGTTGCAGATGTCAGGTAATTTATGTCTTCTGTTTGGGGATTTCTACCTTCAATGTTTTAAGTTCCCCTCAACTCTGTGGAAGGATTGGGATTTTACTGTTCTCAAGCAACTTCTCAGGGGCAATTGTATGTTCTTACCATGATCACAACTAAGGACCCAGCCTCTGCCCTGCTCCTTATCTACCAAATTTCACATTCCCTCAGAGCTGGAATCCCTATGTCAGTGTCTCCGGGCAAAATAGCCGTGAACATGGCTACACTATTAAGTGGATGGTGGGGGCAAGAATAAAGCATGGGCCCTATTTCTGAAAATATTTTCAGTGAAAAATGATTATTAGAGATTTTTTTTTTGTACCAGGGATTGAACTCAGGGCCCTGAGAAAAAAATTTTAAAAGATTTTATGTGCAATAATTTTTAGGAGTAATTGTGAGACATATACTATATCCCATCTCCCACCACTTACAAAATATCTACAGGGATTCACAGTCCACTCTGACACACAAAGGAACTGAGGAATCTTGGAGTGAAGCAGCTCATTTTCCTTAAATTTTCATTTACCAAGTTATTTAAATTCTCTTATGTTTATTTTATAAAATATCCACTCTTTATCCAATTAGAAACTTAAGCTCTGGGGTCAGTTTGAAAATCAAATTGGGCTTAATTTCTCTACTACTACTAACTAGCTGTGTGGTTGTGAATTGTATTTGGCTTCAATTTCCTCATCTGTCAAACTGGAAAAACACTAAGACTTTTTTCATAAGATTAAATGAGATAAAGCCGATTTGGCACTGTATCAAATGTGGCCAGGTACCAAACATGTTAAAACTGTTATTTTTAATGACAGCAAATACTGATTCATATCCACGGAAATAGTATAGTAATGGTTCTAGATTTGAATTCTAACATAATAATTAGAATACATAATGTGATGCTTTCTCTTTCTAATCCCCATAATAGGAGCCAATGACTACCTAAAGAAGGGAGTTAGGTTCAGTTGAAGGATGTGCTTATTGTCTTTGAATCTGTCAGTTGGGTCTCTTTCCTAAGAAAGTCTACTTCCTAAGAGATATCCTTGAACATCTCTCTTTTTCCCCTGTAGCAGCAACAACAAAGGTGGCCTCCTTGTCCACTTTTGGGTTGTGTTTGTCATGCCACATGCCAAGGGCCACATCTTCTGTGAGGACTGTGTGACAGCCATCTTGAAGGACTCCATCCAGACGAGCATTATAAACCGAACTTCTGTGGGGAGCTTGCAGGGGCTGGCTGTGGACATGGACTCTGTGGTACTAAATGGTGATTGTTGGGTAATTTGTGTTTAAGCATTGCTTCCCATAGCATTCCTTAGGACCATTATCATAGCCAGAGATGTAATGAAGTAGTCACTTCCACAATCCCAGTGGCACAGGATTAGCCAAAGGCATCAGAGCTATGTTGGTTAAAGAAGTTGCCAAATATTATGTATAGTACAACAATTCAACAATAGAACTGGGAACAAAACATATAGCAATTGAGTTTCCAAAGTATACTTCATACACACACACACACACACATGTATACACACATATACAAATATATGTATGCTAGGCATATGATAAGTGGCTGATAAATGAAAAGTTTGTTACATAAAAAATCTCTAGCGGATAATTCTGCACTGCATTTACTATTTCAGTCATAAGATTAATTATTATTTGGTTGCTTTCTTACCTTTAAAAAATGTTTAAGACTTATACTAAATTAGTCCAAATATACAGAAGTAAAGAGAATAGAAAAATGAATTCTCATACATCCTTAGCTTCAACAACTATCAATTCTTGGCTACCCTATTTAATCTAAAATATGTATTTACAATTTATCCATCGCCTACTAGATTATTTTCAAGCACAATCCTAAATGGGCTTGAATGTTATCAAGAAGTACTGAAAATAAATTTTCCTGAACAAAATTCTAGTAAAACAAAGTTCTGGGACTAATAGTCTCTTTCTATTCTCTTTTTCAATGCAGCTGGGCTTCGGTCAGATTATTCTTCAACCATAGGATCTGGTAAATTTTTTCATGTGGTATCCCCTTGCCCCCCGGATTAGTATCTTTTTTGACCATAATTTTCCTTTTCAAATGATGGTGTTTGTTAGTACTTTTTAAATTGCAAGTGACAGAAGTATATTTCAACTGGATTAAACAGAAAAGTAACTTGACTGGCTTACGTAACTGGGACAAATGTGGAATATATTGACTTTAGGCATGGTTTGGTCCCGATTACAATAAAACACCAGGACTCCATCTCTGCCTTCCTCTGTGGAGGCTTCTTTAATAAGCATGTTCTTCATTGTAGTAGCAAAAATGAGATCACCAGTAGATCAAGCTTATAATTTATCATTTTCTCAATGGTGGTGGAAAATTCCTTCACACTTATTTTCTTGCAGTTCCTGCAAGAAGTCCTGGGGTTGAAGCTCATTATCTAGATTGGCTGACATGCCCATTCCTGAAGCAATTTCTTTGATTGGCCAGTCTGGGTCACGTACCCATCTCTGGAGCTAGGGGTGAGTTTAACCCCAACCAAACTGTACAGGCAATGCAGAGACAGTTTCTCAGAGCAAAATCTGGGTGGTGTTACCAGAAGAGAGGAGAGTGGACTCTGCTGATAAGGACAGCAGATGTCCTCCACATGACCTCTTTTGCTCTCTGCTCTTCTATAAAGATTTCTAGAAAAGTCATTCCTAAAAAAACAAGTGAAAAGAAAGAAAGAGAGAAAGACAGAAAAGGAAAAGAAAGAAGGAAAGTACTGTCTCCACAGACAAAGGCTGCTCTCAGGACTTGTATGCAGATCATCTGTCTCTCCGCTACCCTCTGGAGATTTCTGCCACCTCAGGGAGGCTCATGTGTCATTTCAAACTGGTGGCCATAGTGGGCTGTCTGATTCGTCTCTCGATTGAGTCTATCCAACTCGAAGCTGACAACTGTGTCACCGACTCCCTGACCATTTATGACTCTCTCTTGCCAATTCGGAGCACCATCTTGTACAGGTATCACGCAGGCTGTCTCTATCCCTCTCTCTCTCTCTCCCTCCAACTCCTCCCTTCCTCTCCCTCTCACCCCCGCCTCTTTAATGCAGGTACTCTTGTTGGCAGCCAAAAAGAGTTTCCACAATCTTGGTTTCTATGGGCTCCCCTGGAAATTTTACAAAGAATATTTTTGTGAAGACTCATGAAGTCAAAGACTATCTGTTTAGTATTCCTGATACTTTAGTAGTATCCTTGCTAGAGTCTATCAGACTCAATGTTTTTTACTTGTAGCACACGAGACTCTCAAAATCAGTACAGCAAGAACTTCAGTCAATATCTGAAATATAAGATATTTGTTTAATTTTATTTTTATTATAATAACAGTGAAGTCTATTGTTTCAGTCAAGTATGACAATAAATATTCTATGATTACATAGCTAAACAAATTTTTTTCTTATTCCAGATGTTCATTGTAGAAAAATGAGATCAGAGAAAATAATATCAAGTACTCCATGATCTCATTACCCAGATCAAATTTCTGTTACATTTTAGCATAAATCCTTTAGTTAATATATGTTTATAATTATATATCCATGTACTTACCCGTATCCTAATATTTTTCACTTAATAGTAGATACCTGCTTAAGGGTACTTAATATTTGAAAGACTAATAATGACAAGCTTTATTAACAAATTATTATTCATTACTCACTGGGTACATGATTATCATTATTTTAAAAAATATATGTCACAGTGCTTTATGTATGTATTAGTATTTATATTTGGTAATGAATGTTTGCACTAGAAGTTCAAACTCTTTGCAAGAATAAGTTTGCCACTGGTTCTCATTCCTCAATCATTGTTAGTTTCTTTTCACCTTCCAAATATTTTTGGTTGTTATCTCTTCCACTCCTCAGCACAGTGCTATGGGGAATATACTATTATTATTGCTACTACTATTTCATGGAAGGAAAAATGGTACACACATGGATCTAGTTGCTTGATTTCCTGGCATCTTTCATCCAGCTAGTTGATGGAGCTGTTTTGAATCCATTTTCCCTGGCGCAGAGCCCATGACCATAGCCATTATATATATGGCCTCTATACTAAGTTGTTCTCAAGACAGCTCAGGGAGGGCCATCTAGGAGAGTTCTTTGGTAGTAGTTTGTAGACAAACATTTCTGTATCTTTTTCAGCTTGGTTCCATCTGTAGTGTCCTGTGGCCACTGGTTAATGAAGACCCGCCTGGTGGACTAATTCACAAAAACCTTGTGAATGACTCTGGAAATGTGTGCAGTTACTGTTGGGTGGAGTCCCACACTTCCAATAGCCTGCTATTCATGTGTTTTTGTTTTGTTATCTGGTTTCAGAATTTGTGAACCCACAAAAACACTGATGTCATTTGTTTCTACAAACAATCTCATGTTGGTGACCCTGAAGTCTCCTTATATACGGAGGCTATCAGGAATCCGGGCATATTTTGAGGTCATTCCAGAACAAAGTAAGTGTTTTCTAATTAAAAAAAAAAGAAAAAAAAAGTTGCTTTTGGGAACATTTGTTATGATGCTGTCTTATCCTTCCTGAGGCTGTTATAATGCTGGTTGAATTAGTCAGGAACCCTGAATTGGGGCCCAGTCAGAAGAGGACAGAGTGAACTGTCAGCTTAGCATTAAGGTGTTAATTAGGCAACTCAAAAAAGGCAAAAAGGACACAAGAAAACTGAAAGATATCATAGAGGTAACACACTCAGGAAGCAATCACCTCCTCTATGGCTGAAATAGCAAAGGAAAGATGTTGAAAGTATTACCATTTAGAGCTTGGAAAAAGCCCGAGTGTGGAATGAAACTCTGGTTTTCTTAGGAGGGATAGCTGCTGCAGCTGCTGGTGCTGCTGCTACCTCCAATTCCAGAAGTATGTTCTTAAAGAAAGTAATAGCATCCTACAGATCTGTAGTCAAAATGTAGGATTTGGCAACCAACATGGAATTTGGAATTTGACAACAAGTGTTTTAACTAAATCTGTGGGGTGCTATTTCTTTAAAAAAAAAAAAAAGTTCAAAAAATATACCATAGTTTTAATCAAAGAATTGTGCATTTGTAATTAGATAAATTAATGTAGTATGTTTTCCCATTGTCTCACAGCTGCAAATCACTGTGTGTGGACATCTTTTTCAGAGTGTGAAAACACAGTGTTGGTCAGAGAAACCACTGGCTTTGAAGGGAAAATTTCAAGTCCATACTACCCGAGCTACTATCCTCCAAAATGCAAGTGTACCTGGAAATTTCAGGTATCCTAGTTTGCCTGTATATTATAAAAATATCCCTATCCTATTTTTAGTAGAATTTCATTTCCTTTATTTTCTTTTTAAATTACAGAATAATATCACTTAATTTTATAAAATTTAACTGCACTGAAATATATTATCTAGAAAACTAAATTTTCCTGTAATTTCAGCCCACTTTTTATACAAAGTACATACTATTAACAAATGTGGGCTATTTTTCCAATTTATTTTGTTTTTATTTTCATTAAAAATGTACAGACCTGCTTGTAGAATCAAACAATTATTTTATTACAACAGAGATTGTGGAGCAATTATTAATTACTTCATCAGAATAGTAATTAATAAAAATAAAAAATTAGATTAGGCAATATATAGTTCACTTGTGTAAGCAAAACAAACAGCAAATTTATATGAAGTATATATAACTCCCCTCTTGTGCTAGGTGGGGCATTTCTTCCCCCCACCCCCACAATATTTTTTAAATCTTAAAAAAAAACTATTTTTCTTTTTTATTTTTGTAGTATCATGGAGACAGGGCAAAGTGTTGTTACCTTTGCTCAGTCAGTGTATATAAAATCATTATTATATAGCACAGCAATTAGATGTAAGTGGTAAATATATGTGGTTTGCATTTGTCAATATATTATTGAATGACTTCTCTGGGTCAAGTTCTCAGGCTACTTTAAACTTTGAGGACCTATGAAACTGGATAAAAAATTTTTAAAAAGTTCTGCTCTTATGGAAACTACCTTTCAGTTAGGGAAGATAGGTAAACAACAAACTAGTCATATACACGGTGAGCAGCCATGTCTGGGTTCAGATCTGTGGATTCAACCAGCGGCAGAGAGAATCCACATCTTTATTGACCATGGACAGACTTTATCTTTGTCATTATTCTCTACTATTATAGAATAGTATAATAGTTATTTATATAGTGTTTACATAGTATTAGATATTATAAGTAATCTGGAGATGATTTAAAGTACATTGGAGGATTTGGCTAGGTTATATGCAGATACTATACCTGTTACTTAAAATGCTTATTACCTGTCAATTTGCATTTTTATGTGTGTGAATAAACAAACAAATGATAAGGCTGGAAAAAAATTTGAGTTGTGTTCTCATGAGCCCTGGGCTTTTGGTGAACATGAGACAGTCCTATTCCTTGTGTGTCCCCCACATTGGTTTCCTAGAGCTTGAGAGACTGTGAATAGAGTGACCCTCAAAGAATGCTGGGCTAGTTTGGATCTCTGGTCTGCTTTTTCTCACCTTGGGAAAATTACTTATCTTTGATTAGTTATGTCGGTTTATTTATTTTTTCTTTTTCTTTAAAATGGAAATCAACCTTCTTTGCCTAACAGAGTCGTTGTGGTGTTCAATTGAGATCAACAAAGTGCCTGATTCACTCCCTCTCAAATGTGGGAGGTGAAGGGCGGCTTCCTGCATTTAAATGTACTTCAGAAACAAAGAGACACACATGCACATGCACAGACATGCATACACACACATGAAAGAGCAACACAAAATAATGGCATGACTAAAAACTCTGTCACGGTAATAAATGTCAATGGGTAAAGAAAAAGACAGTAGGATTGAATTGCAAAGTACTACCTAAAAACTTAACTTCATCATTTTCAAAAGATTAAAAAAAAAAAATGACTCAAAAAAGCTGATCAGAAAGGATGGGCAAGATTGTACCAGGTATGCATAAGTAAAAAGAAAACAGTTTTCATTCTCAGTACCTGGCAACACTGAAACCAGGGCCACAACATTTCCTGGTTTGCAAGTAAGGAGAAGGGCAACTTATAAGATAAAAAGGTGATCCACAAAATCTAATTATGATGATTATTTATGCAGTGAATGATATAGCATTAATACACACAAGCCAAGAAGAATAGGAAAGACAAAGAGAAGTGGGCAAGGCTTAAGTAAGAGATTTTAATTCACTTTCCTTGCATGATTCAGACATAGTGTACAACAGTAAACAGGGCCAGGAAGGCTATTAAGTCATACCAGTGAGTTTGGAAATAAAAATAAGCAGAGGGACCATGGAACAGTCATAATTTGATCACAATCAAATCCTTAAGAAATTTTAAAAAATTTTAAAAACAGTATAAACCGTAATCTTTCTTCTAATTAAGATGGAATTAGAAAACTTGAAAATGGGTAAGCCAAAATTCAACTCTCTAGAAATATAAAAATCCTCTCTTCCATAATTCCTGGGTCAAAGTGAAAGTGAAAACTAAAACGTTGGCATATCAGACATAAGGTGGTTGTACACCACACAGTACAATAAAAAGGCCAGTTGTGTCGTGGCACAGTATGTGCATGTTTGCTCACAAGCAGGCTGTCTGGCTCCCTTGACTTTTTCAGAAAATACCCAGATGATTCAGTGACAGTCTTTAGGAATACCCAGGTAATATGAAGAGGAAGCTGATTCATCTCTCTTTTATCTACAGGATCTGAATGAAACTTTAAATAAGCCACGTCATTGTTTTCATCAACAGAGGACATTCTTTAAACTCAGTAACTGGTGAATGTCTGCAAAATTAAGCTCATCCAACTGGAGCAGGCTGAAACCCAGAGACACTGCCTATGGTGTCCCACCTCATGGGCCCAGAAGCTGAGTCTTGAGCACCTGGTGGCTATCCTCTTTGTTCTCCACCTGCACTTCTTCCCATCCTGGTTGTTCAGGGGAGCTGGTGTACCACACCAGGGGCCACAGGGCACAGGAATAGAACACCCCTGAAACAATAAGTACCGAGCCAGCAAGGAAATGTTAGCCTGAGATTTCGTCCTTTGCCTAAAGCATTTTTTGACTTGATGTTGTTTTTCACAGACCCCTCTGTCAACTCTCGGCATAGCCCTGAGATTCCATAACTATTCAATCACCAAGAAGAGTATGAAAGGCTGCGAGCATGGATGGTGGGAAATCAACGAGCACATGTAAGTGATTTTCGTATGTGAGGAATCTGATGAATCCTTGTGGCCTCTGTCCTAGAGAGGATTTGTCTGTCTCTAAAGAGTTTCCACTTTACTGTTGACAGAGGGCAACTGAGAGACAGAGAAATCAAGAAACTTGCATAAGGACTCTCATTCCTGAGTGACTGAATCAGGATACAGGGCAAAGTTGATCTAAAGACATGGCTTCTGCCTCACCTCCACTCTGTGGATTTTCCATGTGTATAGTGCATGCTTGACAAAAGTATTTGGCAGATAAAATATTCAAATTCTAGAGCTACTGGGGAAAATAATAAATAGGGGTTCTGGTGGTACAAAAGTTAGCCAATTCCTTTTGTTCATAGAGGCCTGATTGACCTGGCTTGGTCTGAAGGCTAGCAAATGGGTTGAGGCTAACCAGAAAAAAATCTCAGAGAAATGTAAGTGGTTTGGCTTCCTGAACCAACCTAGTAGTCCCCACTGTCACTGTCCCCTTCCCTTGGGCTGGAGATTGAACCCAGGGCCTGTTCAAGCTAAGCAGATGCTCTCCCTGAGGTACATGCCTGGCTCCTTACTCTCGCTCTGATTTATTCCTTGCTTGTTAGTGTTGTTTATTTGCTTCTGAAACTATAATAGGTATTTAATAGCCATTTAATTGAATTAGCATTCAAAATACAGGACACCCTGCTTTGGCAGTAGAAAGGCTTCTCATTTCACTTTTCAGAGAAGCATCCTGTGAGGTTGAAGGCTTTGCCTGCTATTTTTTTGCTCATTATTATTTCATAAATGAAACCTTCCCTAAGTGCCTTTCCTTAATAACCTTCTTTCATTTCCTTTAGACAAACTGTGAAATAGTCATCTATCCTGTCTTCAGAGGAGTAGGCCTTAGCAGATTAAAAATTGTTCTTGTATCCATTCTTAAAATGTAGCCAGTATTCTTTTTGGGAGTGTAACTGAATCAAGGGTTTGTTCTGTAGAAGACAGGAGACCTGGCTTCAAATTCCAGCCCTGTCATTTAGTAGCTATATTAAGTAGGGCAAATTACTTAACATCTTTGATTTTCAGTTTGTAAATAAGATGATAATTCTCAATAAGGGTTTGTGTTTGGGCAAGCATTCAAGGACATACTGCATACAACAGACCAAAAATATGATTTATGTTAATATAAATAACGAGATTTCTTTGGAAATTATGTTAATGAATAAGCACTATAGAATGTGCCCCAAGGCTTCACAGGTACTGCTTTTTGGTGCTTAATAAATATAGAAATCTTTACACATCTTTTGTATGATAAACCTGTGACTAAACTGTGCTTTGAATAAGAAATATTATTTTTTTTTTCTCCCAAGTCACAGCAGAAACAGTCCAGGATGTGTGACTGCAGGTAGGAGCAGGGTCTTCTCCCAAGCAATACCAGGAAAGCACTCTGCCCCAATGCTTCTCCTGAAAGGCCAGTTCTTCCTGTAGTCTGTAGGCTGGCTGAAATCCTATCAGATTCATTTCATGTTAGTTGTACCCTCAGGATTTAAAATGCCAGCCCTTTCCTTATCCTTTCTTCTCACTGGAAAGGGAAGGCTCTAATTGAACTAATGAGACCCCTTGCTGAGAAGTTAGCCTAAGGGAATTGGGGCTGTAAAGAGAAAGGTGGAAAGAGCTATAAGGAATGGGGAAAGACTAAGGATTTCCTCAAATAGTTCAGAGAACCTAACCTCAAAGAAATAATGGTCACCCTACAAGTTGGATGCCATTAGAGAGGAAAAGCAGAGCTAAGCCCAAGGAGAAGGCCACTGGATGTTCTAGAAAGTGCCAGAGTATAACCTCAGGCCAACTGTGTTCAAATCCTGGTTCTACTTACTTGCTTTTGAACTTTAACAAATTATTTCACTTATGTCTGTTCCTGACTTGTTATATGTCTGGATACATAAATTGACTCTTGTTGGGTTTCTCCAATCTCTCACGTTTTGAGCTCTAAGTCTCTAAGCCTTCATCATGATCCATTGCATAGGATCTCCCTTTAAGCTCTAGCCCAAATATTGAGGCCAACATCCTTCATCTTAATTCCCTTTTAAGATGCCTGAGTAGGACTCATCTTTGGAAGAAAACCCTAGATGTTAGTGGAGAACACACACAAAACACATCATGTCTTTAGACATTTAAAGTGTGCCAATCTCAAGATGATCAATTAGAGTAGATTCTGGTCCCCAAAGCTTGGCTTGGCTTTCAGGAACCTCTCAGACCTGGCTCCTACTTGACCAGGTGGCCACCTCACCTGCTATCTCTTCCTTATGTAACAGGAACTGGCTTATCGGTCCATCGGTTCCTGAACTTCAGCCAACTGCAAGAGGCTCTTCCTGAATGACATGAGAATGCTTTCCTCCCTAAAATCACAGATTATCTGTGCTTTAGAATGCCAGTGTCTGATTCAAAGAGCTTTCGAGGTTCCCAAGTGATTTGAGGGCCTAGAGTGATTGGCATTCACAAGTTCCAGGGGACAGTGCCACCTCCAAATCTTGAGGCTGCTCCCTGTCTCCCATGGAGACCCTAGAGGTTTCACACTGGAAAAAGCCTTGCCCGAACAGGGCAGTGGACTTCTCACAGGCCTTCTGTATAATAATGCTCCTACTCCATTGCTCACAGAGCTCATGCAGCAAGAATTACTAACCAGAGGGATATTTTCCCAAAAGAATTTTGGGAACCCTGGTGGCATTAAGTAATGAGAGGTAAGAAAAAAATCAAGTGAGGGAAATATTGTGTAGAGACATTACTTCTTGGAAATTCTACCAAGGACAAACCCAGAGGTGCATATCATATTTTGATTTAGATGGAAATAACATAGTCGTTTGCTTCAAGTGTTGATGAAGTTCATTGCATATTTTCAGCCTGAACTCAGAGATTCTACTCTGCTCTGTCCAGAGGTCTGTGGGCAAGACCTTCCTGTTTCATGCTTTATTTTTGTTTTTCACTGAAAGGAGATGGGCCTAGAAGAATTAAATCCATAGTTTGTTTGTGAGTGTTGGTGAGGAAAGGAACAGATTGGTAGTACTCTTACTGCTCTATTTAGCAGAAGATAAAATTGGGGAGAAGTTACTAGATTGTGGCCACATAGCATAGGATGGATTCGATGCTACCATTAGTGCATTTCTGCTTACAAAATCCAAATGACCACAGTACAGATGAATTTACTGTCAACAGGAAGGCAGTTGATGAAACCTCAAGCTGTGTGTCCTCTCCAACTCCTGTCTCCTCAGGTACTGTGGCACCTACATGGATCACCACACGATTTTCCGAGTGTCCAGCCCTCTGGTTCACATTCAGTTCCAGTGCAGTTCAAGGCTTTCGGACAAGCCACTGTTGGTAGAATACGGCAGTTACAACATCAGTCAACGTAAGCCTGGTTATCAACAAGATCCTTAGAAAACCTCAATAAGTCATCACATGGTGAGCTGTGGGCATGGTGGCACATGCCTGTGATTCCAGCAACTTACGAGGCTAAGGCAGGAGGATTATAAGTTCAAGTCCAGCTTCAGTAATCAGAGAGGTCCTAAGGAGCTCAGTGAGACCCTGTCTCAAAAAAAAGGGCTGGATGTGGCTCAGTGGGTAAGTGCCCCTGGGTTCAATCCCCAGTACCCAAATAAAAAAAGGGGAAAAAAGTTATTGTATGGTCACAAATGCTTTATAACTTATAACCTCAAATATTTCAGGAATGAGTATAGCTTCTTTTTGTTATTTCCTTTTATATATGTATTTTAAAAAACAAATTATATGTATATATATACATATATATATATACACACATAAATTATGTTTTACTGCCTTTATTTTAAGTTGTAGAGAAATCATTTAATATTTTTGACATTACTGATTTATAGCTGAAATATAACTTCTTACATTATTCCTGAAATATAGGACAAGTCCTTTTTTGGCTTGTTATTTTTCTGATTTTTGTGTTCATATCAACATATAGAGGATCTGAGACCAGCAGTTTTGATTCAGTTTGGTCTATGGTGCACAAGGGTAGCTGTTTGATTGAAAGGATTCAAATAACAGCACTCAGAAGGTAGAACTGCTGGAACAGTGATCAGGAAGTGGCTAATAGAAAAGAAAACATTTGAGAGAAGTATTGGAGCTGGAGTGTAGATAAGGACATGTTCAAGAAATTCTAGACCCATTTAAAACGGGGAAGTATAAAAATTATTCTTTGAGGAACTTATGAAGATATGACATAAGCGAAAGGAACTTAGACCTTGTTGTTCTCTGACAATCCCCAATATCCTGCTTTTGCATTTGGAATATTATGCTCAGAATACTACAATCTCCAGCAGGGTCTCAAGAAGAGCCAGTCATTTCATTTCTAACTGTCTTTTCAAACCATGACTATTCCCCCTGACTCACCCGCTCCACCACATGCCATTGAGACATAGGTGGACCTATAATACACTCTCCCACTGTTCTTTTGCACAAGGGAGGAAGGATTTATTATTTCAGCAATATTCATATATTAGCTTAGGATGTGATTTAAGCCAACAGAGGGAGTGGATCTTTGATGAGCAGCCTGATTGAAAAGGAAAGAATAGTGGATAGTGAAGTAGGAGGCAGGAGTCTTGGCTTTGAGGCCTGGCACTAATCTCTCTAGGTCAACTTGAGTAGATCAGTGGTTACTCTTGTATTTTGGAACAGAGATCACCTGAAAATGCAATTAAAGAGGCAGAATAATGCTTTTGATCACAGGCAATTTGGAGAAAGCAGCATCCCATTTGTAATCCCCCAGAAAGTCTAAAGCCTGCACATTAAGAATGCTGGCCTCTAATATGTCTTCCAGCTTTCCCATGCTTCAAGTCTGTATTAATGCTGTGGAGCTGAGTCAAGGCAAAGGGTTTTTTTTTGTTTTGTTTTGTTTTGTGGTGCTGGAGATTGAACCCAGGCCTTTTTGCATGCAAGGAAAAAGACTGAGCTATCTCCCCAGCCCGAGGTTTGATTTTGAAGGTGACTTGGATGCAGTGGTTACTCAGACCTCCTGTTTAATTAATTTTCTTTTTTTGTTCACTTGGGTTCTGCTTTTTAGCTTGTCATTACCCACATCCTTATTTAGATGGACATATTATATAATTGCTCCTGCTACCTTGTCAAATCCCTAATCACTTAAAGCTTCATGTTTCTTTGCTAATGTGGTCTGGGCATTTTTCAGGACCCACATGACATTTTCTTTTTTCTTTCTTTTTTTTTTTTTTTTTATTGCTTATAGCTTGTCCTGTTGGATCTTTTAGATGCTCCTCTGGTTTGTGTGTCCCTCAGGCCCAGCGCTGTGATGGAGTAAATGACTGCTTTGATGAAAGTGATGAACTTTTCTGTGGTGGGTATTCAGGCTTTGAATATGACTTTCTTAGACGTAGCTTGTCAGGGCCATTGTTGCTGCTAGTGTCCACCTACAGTCTTTGTAGTGTAGATAGTGTTATCTATCACTACCTAACAAACTATGCCAAAACTCAGTGACTTAAAACAGTAATTCCTTGTCCTCCTCCTTCTTTTTTTCCTTCACCTCCTCCTCCTTCTTCTTTTCTGTTGTTTTCTTTTTCTTTTTGCCCCCCATTTTACAGTGTTGGGGATCAAATCCAGGGCCTCATGCAAGCTGGGCAAGATTCTACCACTGAGCCACATCCCCAGCCCCCATCATGTATTCCTCATCATATACCCATATGTTGTCTTGGATATGCCTGATCTAGGCTGAGCTCAGTTGGGTGGCTTTGCTTCAAGCACTGGGTCATCCTGAGCTTGGTTCTTCACAGGTCAGGATCAGGTCTGTTCTTTCTGACTCTTTCTTTCATTGAGCCATGGATAGCATTGATAGTGACAAAAGCAAAGAAGGAGCAAGCAGAAACATATAGTTTCTCTGAAGGCTTGGCCTTGGGATTGGCACCCCATCACTAGTATCATAGTTCATGGCTCAAATCCGGTCACATAGCTGAGATCAAAGACAAGGCTCACGGAATTTCCTGTGCACATTTTGGGGTCATGGCAAGGATGGATTTGCATTAATATGACCACAGGGAGTAAAGATCTGTGATTAATAGCTTAATTCACCACACTCGTTTTTTGTTTGTTTGTTTTGTACATTATTTTAAAAAAAAACGTTATTTTCCACTGGTACTTGACAGTTAATAGCACCTGATACATTCTGAATTTTTATAAAACAAATTACATAATTCTTAGTATATAAAAATGACTCCAAAAATATTTGAATGTCTGTTATGGTATATGGAAAGGTAAATTATTAGGATTTTTATTCTGCATTTAGACAATACATTTTCAAGGTTAACCTTAAAGTCTTAGAAAACAACATTTTCTGTGAAAGTGCTTTAGAGGAAACTGGTTCAATAAATCCAGTAAACATAATTTCAGCAGTAGAGACTAAACTACTACCAAACAATCATGAAAACTCCTCTGAAAGATTTCAAAACAAAATTATTCAGAATCTCTTCCAAATCTATTTTTCTGGAATCATTTATTCAGTTTAATTTTAGGTAGAATTTAGGGTTACCTAAAACTCTCAAACAACTTCTTCTTATTCTTCTTCTCCATCTCCTTCTCCTTCTCCTTCTCCATCTTCTTCTTCTTCTTCATACAACAATCCTGTTTGAAGTCACAGATCTTTTATCTTGAGAGCAGCTCAGAATCTGCAAAAAAGTAAACTCAGAATTCCTCTTTATGGAGCACAGGGTTTGTTTATGAATGATAGTTTTTTTGTTGTTGTTGTCTTTAACCTACACAGTTTCTATTGATATTACATTGGTAATAACTAAGGGAGGGTAATCTGTCCCATAATAATTCCATTGGCAAAGACAGGCAAACCCTCCAATGCCAATCCTGATAGACCTTCCTAGGCTCTCCCCGATCCAAATAGGGATCCCCATACTCCAACCACCCTAACTCTCCAATGCCCCCCTCCACGTTCTCCATACAGATCCTTAGGTTTACCTTTTCTTTATTTCCTGTGTCTTCTAAAAGCTATTCATTCTTGAGGTTGCCTTTATATTCTTTCTTTTTAGAATCAATAATATGTTTAAAAAAGTATTTGATACATAACTGGTGCCCCGTCCCTTAAACATACAATCAAACAGAAGCCCGATTAAAAGGAATGACTTTTCCCAGCAGGGCTTCTTCCACAACTCAAGGGGAGATGTGTGGTCTATAGTCAGAAATGTCTAAGGAACCACAATTTCTGAAAGTGCTTGCTAATATACCATGCCTGCCTTCGATCTAAAGAAAATATTCCAAAAAGGGAAAATATTTTTTTTTCCTATTTTCAGATTTTTTTCTGCATTTCCTAATTGAGGAAATTGATCTCTAAGGATAAAAATCATCTTAAGAAGATTTTCCTTACACACAGACCACAAGTCTATTTTTCTCTAAGATCTCACATTCATGAATTCATTCAACAAAACCTCATTGAACTCCTCCTATGTGATCAGGGGCCTGGGGTACAGATATGAATAAGATAATCTCAGTACACTTCCACTTCCATTAGGAGGGGAGACAAGTTCAATTTAGATAACAGCTTCCAATATTCATTTTTCTGAAAATAGATTACTTCAGATGCATTTAATTGTAATTAAATAAACAAACCATCAGAGTTCAACACATCTACACAATTGCAAAAATCAGATCTGACAAACTCAAGTGCTAGGATTTGCTCCAAAGTTTAAACATCAGCTTTTCCTCATGAAGGTGCTGCTGTTGAGGAAAAATCACTCTCTAGTTTGTCATCTTAATATTTTGTCCCTGTAGAAGGGCACTCCTGGTCATGGGAGAAGGCAGATGATGTCCCAGGCTCATAAGCCTTGTGTCTTTTCTTATTCCAGTGCCTGTTAAACCTGCCTGCAACACCAGCTCCTCCAGGCAGCACGGCCCTCTGGTCTGCGATGGCTTCAAGGACTGTGAGAATGGCCAGGATGAGCAGAACTGCACTCGGAGTGAGAAGGGTCCCCGTGCTCTGTTGTGCTTCCTAAATCAGAACCAAAATGCCTTTGCTGAGTCAGGGCAATCTAGTCCCAGTGTCCCCCAAACTTTCCCAGATTTGGCACTGAAAATCCCTTGTCTGGGGAAGCTCCTCAGTCCTAGAAAAAAATGAGTGACTAAAGTTGGTGACTTTAACAGGAGTGGACTTGTGCTGTGTGTGTGTGTGTGTGTGTGTGTGTGTGTGTTACTGTGTGAATACTGGCAGATTTTCATTGCTTACCTGATTTTTTTTTTTTTTTTTTTTTTTTGTACCAGTGATTGAACCTAGAGACGCTTAACCAACCAGCCACATCTCCAGCTCTTTTTTAAAAATATTTTTATTTTGAGGCAGGGTCTCACTAAGTTGCTTAGGGCCTCACTAAGTTGCTAAGTCTGGCTTTAAACTTGTGATCCTCCTGCCTCAGCCTACCAAACCACTGGGATTACAGGTGCACACCACTGTACTCAGTTACTTCCTTGCTTTTAATGCTACTTAAGTTGCAGGATACCGAGGATCTGATGTAGAGGAACTTGCCAGAGACCATGAAGGGACAGAAATGCAAATTGTAATTACTACAGAAATGCAAACCTCCTGAGTTGTGAACAAATGTGTGGGAATTCACACCATCTGTCTATTTTTCTTTTCCTGGATGACATAAAAAGACGAGTGTGGTAGTGATTTATGCCCAAAGACTTTCCTTGGAGAATAAGACACAATAACAAAGAGGCTGTGGCCTAAAAAAGCCACTTATATGGCCAACTCCTTTGCATCTCACTCACCTACAGGGGAAGAAGGCCAGGTAATTGGATTGACTCTCAGCTGAAGTGCTTGCCTGCCTGCCTTCTTCAGTGGCTCTGAAAGGTCACTGTGGGTTTGTTCCATTTCTCTGCTAGTTTTTCCCAGAGCAGCAAATAGCGATTTTGTGGCTAATCCATCCTTTGCAAAGATCAGTGTCATTTACTCAGATGTTTCTGGCTAGAAAAAAACTGCTTTTTCTTTCATTCGTTTTTAGGCATTCCGTGCACCAACAGAACTTTTAAGTGTGGCAATAATATTTGCTTTAGGAAACAGAATGCAAAATGTGATGGGATCGTGGATTGTTCAGATGGAAGTGATGAAGTCGGTTGCAGTGAGTAGAAAAGCTGTTCCTTTTGATTCCTATCTTCCCACCTGGTTTGCCCATTTTCCATTTTTATTCTCTTCCTCATGGAATTCCCCTGGCAGATGTTACCACAGACCAGGAAATAATAGTAAATCTTGGTGAGCTGAGTCTGAAATTATTTCTCCATCTTCTTTCTTGATACTAAGCATCAATATACTAGATGTTTCCAAAGAGAGCTTTCAATTTCTAGTAACACTAATGAAGGAAGAAGGTCTTAAGTAAAATAGCCTGTGACAAATGAAAAAGTGGGCTTCTGGAGGATTTTTGCTTATATCTTACTTTGTGAACAATATCAATTGTTGGTTCTTTGTTTATTCAAAACCTACTAACTTTTCCGTGCCATATGTTCTTTTTAGTCATGTGGCTTCTAATTGGCCATGTGGCAACAGGTTAATTATATATCATTATCGATACTATTTACACAAAAAGTAAATTACACTAAAAGTAATTGCTCTGATAACTAGTTTGTCTTAGGCTTTAATTTATCTTTGTTTTACAAATTTTTCTTTTAGATTAGCACAGCTTCAAACACATTATCAATTCTGTTATATCAGAACTTACCTTTTTCGTCTCCATCTAGCCACCTAACACCAGGGCTGTTGTTTGTATCAGTACAGCTGTTACTATGGATCCCTCTGCCTCCGCATGCATTACTGTATGGAGACTTCCTGTTAGGGCTTGTTTTCTGGAAGGAAGGAGTAGTCGGCTGGTGCTGGTTTCAGACAGACCCATAAAATTCCTTTCTAGATAAGCAGGCGATTTTAAATTGCTTACTTGGTGACTCAGTTCCCAACCCAGCACTGAACCTGACCTAATTTCCAGTTTTTCTTCAAGTCTGCCTTAAATCACATGACCCTTCCTCTCTACCAAAGGCTGTAGCAGGCGTTCGTCCACTGTCCACCGAGTCGTCGGGGGCACTGACTCCCAGGAGGGGGCTTGGCCATGGCAGGTCAGCCTCCACTTTGTTGGATCTGCCTACTGTGGCGCCTCTGTCATCTCCAGGGAGTGGCTTCTCTCTGCGGCCCACTGTTTCCATGGAAACAGGTAGGGTATCCCAAACCTTACTCTTGAGTGGCACATTCTGACAACAAATCATACATCTGCCCTGAATTGTGAGAAGAAGCCCCTACAGGGGAAAACAAAACAAAACAAACAAACAAACAAAAAAACAAAAAACAATCAATTCAATCAGGCTACCTTTTTGTTTGTTTTGGTGGGATGGGGGCACTGGTTATGTGTCAAATAGTTTTTATTTATTTTAGGTATCATTGAGATAAAGAAAGAACACAAAGGAAACATCAAGAATGAATAGTTTTTACTAGACTGAGGAAATAAAGAGAGGGCTTTCAAGTCAGATGGGCAGACCTAATAGGCTGTGTGGAGAATGTGGAGGAGTGGCTGGAGTATGGGGATCCCTGTTTGCATTGGGGGTGATCCTGGGAAGGTCTGTTAGGGTTGGCATTGGAGGGGCTCTGTCTACCTTTGCCAGAGGGATTATTATGAGACAGAAGATCTTCCAGCTAAGGGTGAAAGAGAAGCTTAAAATGTGATCTAACTTGAAATTTAAACTTATTTAAATCTACTAGACCTTAGGTTCAAAACTAATTTCATATACTGAATTTTAAGAGATTTCAACTAAGTTATACAATTTGAGTATTTACTCTTCCAATAAATTACAGGAATCATGTTAATTACTGAAATAGCTTCACCTCTGATCATTAATCTTAAATGCTGTGAAACTGCTGTGTCCTTATTTTTTTCCAAGAGTTTTCATATTCTTTTCACTTTGAACTTCTCTTTGGCTGCCTCAGGGTGAGATCAAAGCCACACATGGAGATACAGTCCCCTTTGTGACTCTGTGCAGGGTGGGGGGGCAGGGTCAACATTAGAATTCTGGAAGGACTGATCATGGTGGAGTTTGGTATCCCTTTGACTGTCATACTTAAGCAGCTACAGCAGCTATGAGGCTTTTGGTAGCTTGCAGCAAGAAGGAATTTCATTAAATTTCTGCTTAAAACAATTTTTTACATTGACTTTTTATTTGTTCTTTTTAGTTATAAATGACAGTAGACTGTAGTTTGATATATTATACATACATGGAATATAACTTCCCATTCTTCTCGTTGTACATGATATGGAGTTACACTGGTAAACACTTCATTTTCTAATCTGCCTTGGAATTAATATTATTTGAATTGGTAGAAGGGTCCCCAGATCACCATATTTACTGGCCCTGTTTGTCTCCATCAGATGCCATTGTTAGCATGAATAGGAAGAATTTAACCAATTAACTCTAGTTATAAATGTTCTTGACCTGTGTGTGACTTGTGAAATACTAGTGGCAAGAAAATTTCCTTCAGGACCTCCTTTCCTCAGCCTCATCTCTCTGTAGAGTGCTTGTTTCTAAACTGTGTAGGACTCTTCAGACTGCTAACTTGGTTGTTCATTCCTTCTCTACCAGGTTGTCAGACCCCACACCGTGGACAGCTCACCTTGGGATGTATGTGCAGGGGAATGCCAAGTTTATTTCCCCATTGAGAAGGATCGTGGTCCACGAGTACTACAACAGTCAGACCTTCGACTATGATATTGCTTTGCTACAGCTCAGTGTCGCCTGGCCTGAGACCCTGAAACAGCTCATTCAGCCAATCTGTATTCCTCCTGTTGGCCAGAAAGTGCGCAGTGGGGAGAAGTGCTGGGTTACCGGCTGGGGGCGAAGGCATGAGGCAGGTCTGTGTGTGAATGAATGGGCTTGGCCTTCCACATGGATGAGAGTAACTTGTGCTGATGCTGTGCTTTGGGGTTCCCAGAGAGGATTTGTATATATCATCTTCTTTGGGCCTCCTGACAACTCTGAAAGTTTGGATTGGAGGAGACTATTTTCATCCGTGTCTTATGATTCTTTCCATCTGCTCCAGAAGAAGCAGGGAGACGGAGGGAACCTTTAAACAAAAGCAGAATTGACTAGATAGCATGGGCTCTTTTCAAACTCTGAAGAGGTGCTGGGATTTCCACTAGACAAGAATAGTTCCTCCTTGGCTTCTCTTTTATTCCAAGATGTGATTCATTTTTATAAAGGAGAGAACTTTTATGTATGCACACTCCACTGTCAACTCAGACAGCTATGTAGAAGATTATGCAGGTATGTCCTGCACCAGGATTCTTGGCCAAGCTAAGCTTCCCTTAGCTAATCCAGGCTTGGGCATTACACCAACCTATAATTGGTCCACTCAGAGGGGATACCTTTTTTTGCCTCTCCACCCAGAAAAAAAGCATCATTTTCCAATATGTACCCAAATCAGGGAGTATGCTAGGGAAGGCTGTATGTTCATCCTGCCATGATTTTTCCATGAACTAGGATTCATGGTTGATTCTGAATATATTATGAGGAGAAAAATACAAAGCTTCATGTACATGTCCCCAGAGGTTACTGCTAGAACTTTCCTTTGACCTCCCAGTCATCTGGGATTCCCTTGCAGCCTATCCAAGGGTTTAGGACAGTGTCTGTGATTCCTGAACTTTCCCTGAATGCTTGCTTTGACACTATCTAAAGATTCACTGTGAGCAGCTTCTCAAATGCTCACTGTCCTCAGTTAGTTATTGAAGTAGTAAGATTCACCTTCGTTTTATTTGCTGAGGTCTCAGAGTCCTGAGAGAGAAGGCAGCTAGGTGTTCGAACACTTACAACTCTGATAGGCTACTGTGCTCCATGCTTTAGTTTCAATATCACAAAGGGAATTGTCTACCCATTATTTTATAAACGTGTGCTTGTGTGTGTGTGTGTGAATCATCTTAGCCAAACAGGTTTAAAGGGAAGTGAAAGAGCTATATAGAAACAGTTGTTTTTATGATTCTTCAGAGACTTCTATATGTCAGTTGTGCTCCTTTACTTAAGGAGCTCTCTTGAACAGTAAATATTGGTACTAAGCTTTGTTGACTCACAGTCATTCTAAATGCAGGAGGTATGAGATGAAGGAGTATGGGACGGTGGGGGAGGCAGATCTTGGGTCTAAATCCTGTTGGTATTTGCTAGCTATATGCCACTGGGCAAGTCCTTTTATCTCCCTAGATTCCTTTTCCTCATCAGCAAAATAGGGATAATAATAGAGTTCATCTCCAAGAATAGCTCTGAGGGTTAAAGGAGATAATCTGAGTTATCATTCAAATGAAACCTTGAAGAGATGTAGTCATTACCATTACCGTGATTTCCAACTCCAATGTGTTTTCCAGATAGTAAAGGCTCCCCTGTTTTGCAGCAAGCAGAGGTAGAGCTCATTGATCAAACCCTCTGTGTTTCCACCTACGGGATCATCACTTCGCGGATGCTCTGTGCAGGAGTGATGTCTGGCAAAAGAGATGCCTGCAAAGTAAGTCCTCCTACCTTTCTCTTGCCCAGCATGTGTTTTCCATAAATGCTTTCACATTTAATCCATGCAACCCTGGGGAATAACTAGGGCAGATATTCCCCTTACCTCATCTGAGGTATTAATTATGACCTTGTTGCCTAAGATCAGGGAAAGGTGCCGAAAGAACTGGTTTTATAGAATCAGTTTGTAATCCCTGCATATCTTCTTCCAGCATTCACTTGGTGAGGTCAGCCTTCATATGTCTGCCACAATTTCCTTGTAACTAAAAAGCAAAGCAAAAAATGACACACACATGCAGACTATGTTTCAGAATTGCTACCTATTTCCTTAGGAGCAGGAGCTGTTCAACTTCTGAAACTAACTTCCTTCCTTCCTTCCTTCCTTCCTTCCTTCCTTCCTTCCTTTCTTTCTTTCTTTCTTTCGATATCATCTAAAGCATAGGCAGATGGCGGTGAGAAGAGAAGAGGAATAGGAGAGGTGACAAGAACACTCATATGCAGCCCTCCGGGTAGCCGTCTCTAGCAGTGGTTCAGCTGGAAGTCATCTTTCAAGGGAGGGGATATTTCTCTGAGCCTATGATTTCAAATCTATGTCCATGATCACCAAAGACGATTAAGAGAGTAAGGATGACAGCAGGATCGGTTCCCATGTCTTTCCACAACTTCAGCCATGATGCCACAAAATTCATTATAATACTGACTTCTATCTTTTGAGATTCTACTTTGTGACAAGCAACCATGGTACATCATTTACTTCAATTCATTCAATTCATTCTTTTATTTCCATTTTACAGAGGAGGAAACTGGAGACAGAGAGGATAAATAGATGACCCAAGGTCATATAGCTAGCAAGTACAGATATCTGGGCTGGGATTTGAACCCATGGCTCTCTAATGCTAAAGTTGCTGTTTTAGGGTTTCCTGTAGCTGGTCAGTTACAAAGTCCTCCCTTTCCTACTCTTATACTCCCTCCCTTCCCCTCCCTTCCTTTTGCCTAATCACAGTATCTACATTTCCCCCCTCCCCCTCCCCCATTATGCATCAGCATCCACTTATTAGGGAGAACATTCAGCCTTTGGTTTGCGGGGATTGGCTTACTTCGCTTAGCATGATATTTTCCAACTCCACCCATTTACCTGAAATGCCATAATTTTATTCCCTTTTAATGCTGAGTAATATTCCATTGTGTGATAAATCACAGTTTCTTTATCCATTCATCTGTTGAAGGGCATCTAGGTTGTTTCCACAGTTTAGCTATTGTGAATTGAGCTGCTATAAACATGGATGTGGCTGCATCACTCTAGTGTGCTGATTTTAAGTCCTTTAGGTATAGACCAAGGAGTGGGATAGCTGGGTCAAATGGTGGTTCCTTTCCAAGTTTTCTAAGGAATATCCATACTGCTTTCCAGATTGGTTGCACCAACTTGCAGTCCCACCAGCAATGTATGAGTGTGCCTTTTCCCCCACATCCTTGCCAACACCTATTGTTGCTTGTATTCTTGATAACTGTCATTCTGACTGGTGTAATGAAATCTTAGAGTAGTTTTCATTTCATTTCTCTCATTACTACAGATGTTGAGCATTTTTTCATATATTTGTTGATTGTATATCTCCCTCTGAGAAGTGTCTGTTCAGCTCCTTAGCCCAAAATATGGAACGCTTCACTAATTTGCATGTCATCCTTGTGCAGGGGCCATAATAATCTTCTCTGTATCACTCCAGTTTTAGTGTATGTGCTGCTGAAGCGAGCACTACACATTATTTCTTGATGGTTCCTAGGCTGCATAGTGACTAGCCAAACAAAACGTATCAGAATGGGACTTCTGAACACAATCTATTAGACACAGTAACAATGAACTTGATGATTATGAGACAAATGTCTTCATACTTAACATTATTTTTGACTTAGGGAGACTCCGGTGGACCTTTATCTTGTCGAAGACAAAGTGATGGAAAATGGATTTTGACTGGCATTGTTAGCTGGGGTCATGGATGTGGAAGAGCAAACTTTCCTGGAGTTTATACAAGAGTGTCGAACTTTGTTCCCTGGATTCATAAATATGTCCCTTCTCTTTTATAATTGTACTAGTTGTATTTTTATCTGTGATTTATGTGATAGATTCTTTTAAAACAATGAAATAATTATCAATAAAATGTCATGCAATTTTTCAACCGAAAATGTTAGATTGCACACATCTGATATTTACTGAAAGAGAGATATATAGTATGTGTTCCATAAAAATTACCCCAAGCATATAAAATATTCATCCTAAGGCATCAAGACATCATTGATTCAAGGATGAGAGAAATCTAAAGTATTGTCACATACCAAGTCTCTAAAATAAAGTAAGAAATGAGGGAGATCTTTAGGTGTCCATACTTTATTTTGTGTTCCTGTTCAAGTACAAATGTTTACAAGTATTGAGGTAAACATGATTTGCTGAAACAAGGAATTCCTGTAAAAAACTCCACACTTGATCATTAGCAATCCCATGAAATAAATGCACAGAAAAATATATCCTTTATAAATACAAATATAAACAAAGCTGTTATTGACAGAATAAGTACCTATATTATTGCTATCCAATTCAGTTTTGTCTAACCGTATCATAACAGACCTATTCCAGCCACGGCACATGGCATTGTTGTGTATAAACAAAACTGATGGTTATAAAACTTTACAAAATGACGGAATAAAGTATTGTGGTAGTTGGGTTGAAAGTACTTATATGAGATTCAAAGAGATTGTGGGAATGTTGGTCAATAGTGAAAAGCCAAAGGGATTTTTGGATGTTGGTTGTACATGTGGAAGTTTTCAGAAGTATCATCATCTGGCTTGTGGTTATTTCATAAAACTCAATGGTCAAGACCCTCATTGTTATACAAAATTACATATAAGAGGTTGTGAGGGGAATGGGAAAATAAACAAGGAGATAAATGAATTACAGTAGATGGGGTAGAGAGAGAAGATGGGAGGGGAGGGGAGGGGGGATAGTAGAGGATAGGAAAGGTAGCAGAATACAACAGTTACTAATATGGCATTATGTAAAAATGTGGATGTGTAACCGATGTGATTCTGCAATCTGTATTTGGGGTAAAATTGGGAGTTCATAACCAACTTGAATCTAATGTATGAAATATGATATGTCAAGAGCTTTGTAATGTTTTGAACAACCAATAAAAAAAAAGACTTTCTTTCTTTTACTTTCAAAGCCTTATAATACCTTGTATAGTCTTAAGTCTATAGTACATTCTCAATACATTCTTGATTTGATTTATTTTGATCTAGAGTGTTCCATATTTTATCTCATAATAATCTTTCCACTAATAGAGACCAGAGTTAATAGTAGCACGAAACAGATGAAACAGCAGAAAAAAAGAAGAATGATATGATTTGTTTATCCTGGGATAAGTTCAAAGGAGGAATAACAATCTTATAGTGAAAGGGAGTTTGAGAACCTCAGAAATTCTTAATGCAACAGCTAAAGGAGAGAGAGCAAAATGTGTCATCCCCAAATCAGATAAAAGACTGAAATATGAGTATGATTTCTCTGAAACAATGAATATTTCCCAGTTCACATAACATATTTTTATTTGTCAAAGAACTATTTTACTGAGATTATGGATAAAGCATCTTAATGGTACCTCTCTGAATAAGTCCCTAAGGCTTCAGTAAACTGGCTACGGGATAGTGCAATTCCTAGGCTCAAGTGTGCCACTGAATCCACAGTGGGGGACTTAGCTATTGAATCCACTGCATAGATAGCAATTAAGCTTACGTTTCCCATACCGTAGGTTTATTTTTCCTGGTATGGCTGTTACCTGCGTATAAGGCAAGTTGTACTTTTTACTTTATGATCATTTCTAAGGTACAGAATTGCTATTCACAAAATAATCAAAAACTTGTCTAAATCTGTGATCTCGATCAGGGTGTGGAGGAGGGCCAGCATGATCTATCATAATCTATCAGATTCATCAGGGGGAGTTTTTCAAATCAGGGATATGCACTACTAATATGGGCACTTACTGGTGCAATGTAAGTGTATGTGTTCCTCACAGTGTGTGTGTGTGTGTGTGTGTGTGTATGTGTGTGTGTTGGTGGGAAGGTTGAGAAACACTAACCTAATTTACTTGAATAGTTCATGCCAAAATAAGTGTCATTAGAACCTGAAAGATATGGGACTATCCACTTCATTCTTGCAAAGATGTGGACTGAGGCAGAACCCAAGACTGATTTTGTTTGGAGAGTGGAATGGCCCCCATAAAAAAAGACAGGAACATTTTGTGCCATATTATAAGGGAGAATATGTAGGTACCAAAGCCCTCCTTTCCAGTGCCTTGAAAATTATAAAATGCACCATCATAAAACAACCAATTATTTCTCAATTGTCTTTGGCTTGATTGGTCTGAGTGATTGATTCAATTGTCCATGTTCAGAGTAATACTATTTGCCATCTTCAATATATGGGTGTGGACTATTGTGTTTGCAGGAGGTATAGATCTATTTAAAAGAAATGAGACACCTTGGAGCATTGATGTTATTATTTTGATGTTATTTTATTTTTTGTTATATATATTAACTATCTGGGAAATTATTCCTTCCAAAAGGAGATAAAGAAAGAAGGCAGAGTACTACGACAAGAAAAACAAAACTGAAAATCTTACACTGGTCATCAAATCTTGACAAGTATGCTTTTTAATTTCATTTAAATTTGAAACTTGAATACCTAAAGCAATTAAATCAACATTAATTGCAAACTATATTAAAGATAAATATTTGTGAAGTAACAACACATTTTAAAAATCTGCCCCATAGAAATAAATTCTGGAAAAATTGCGAAAACAATCTTGGTTCTTCATTAACTTTCACCAAGAATTCTTTAATCTAAACCCAGTTGTATCTTCTTTCTAGCTCATTCTGAATCTTTAGTTGGAGTCAAGCTGGCAGGATGGAAAAAATCCTTAGGGAGAGTTGTAACACTCATCTGCATTGTAGGTCAGTTGTCTGAGATTAAGAAATTGGCATTTACCAGAAACAGGATCTGGTTTCAAATAATAGCTTAAGTAGTTCATGTAATATTGGGAGGTGTCAGCAAGTGTTAGGTGACAGGAAAATATCCAGGACAGGAAGATAAATCAATATTGAAAGAAAATATATTGAGTCAAGGGTTAGTGCTGGGTGCTAAGGATTGGCTGTTAGTGGGTATTATTAATTAAAAAATACTTAAAGTCATGAAAAGTAAGAGAGAATTTATAGAGACTGCTATTTTTAGGTGCAAGAATAAATGCTTTACTTTAATAATTTCACTTAATCATCTAAACTCCACTAGGTAAGGATCATTTTACAATAAGGAAAGATGCTGATAGATACTAAACAACCTGCCCAAGTACACATAGATAGTGGAAGTGTAATTTGATCCTTGTTTTGCTTGCCTTCAAAACCTGTACCCCAGAATACAAGCAACAACAAATGTTGGCGAAGATGTGGAGAAAAAGGTACACACGTACATTGCCAGGGGTTTGCAAATTGGTGCAACCACTATAAAACGTAGTATGGAGATTCCTCAGAAACTTGGAATGGAATCAACCACCATTTGACCCAGTTATCCCACTCCTTGGTTTATACCCAAAGATATATTCTACTATTGTTAGTCCCTGGGTACCTCAGTTTCCCACTTAACTTTTCCATCTAAAAAGCCTATTCAAAAACCCTGACTGAACTATACAGATTTAATGCAATGACAATCAAAATCCCAGTGACATTCCTCATAGAAATATCAAAAGCAGTCATGAAATTCATCTGGAAAAATAAGAGACCCAGAATAGCTAAAGTGATTCTTAGCAAGAAGAGTCAAGCAGGTGGCATCACTATACCAGACCTTAAACTATATACTATACTTAAAGTAAAAAAAAACAGCATGGTATTGGCACCAAAATAGACTTATAGACCAATGGTATAGAATAGAGGACACAGAGACAAATCCACATAATTACAGTTATCTTATATTAGACAAAGGCGCCAAAAACATATATTGGAGAAAACATAGCCTCTTCAACAAACGGTGCTGGGGAAACTGGAAATCCATATGCAACAAAATGAAATTAAACCCCTATTTATCACCATGCACAAAACTCAACTCAGAGTGGATCAGGGACCTAAGAATTTAACCAGAGAATCTGTGCCTAATAGAAGAAAAAGTGGGCCCAATTCTCGATCATGTCAGATTAGGCCCCTACTTCCTTAATAAGACTCCTAAAATTAAAATCAAGAATCAATAAATGGGATGGATTCTAACTAAATAGCTTCTTCCCCCCCCCCAAAAAAAAATCAATAAATGGGCCAAGGAACTGATCAGACACTTCTCAGAAGAAGATACAATCTATCAACAAATATATGAAAAAATGTTCAACATCTCTAGCAATTAGAGAAATGCAAATCAAAACTACTCTAAGATTTTGTCTTAATCCAGTCAGAATGGCAGCTATTAAGAATACAAACAACAATAATTGTTGGTGAGGATGTGGGGGAAAAGGTACACTCACACATTGCTGGTGGGACTCCAAATTGGTACAGCCAATATGGAAAGCAGTATTGAGACTCCTTAGAAAACTTGGAATGGAACCACTATTTGACCCAGCTATTCTACTCCTTGGTCTATACCCAAAGGACTTGTCAGCATACTACAGTGATGCAGCCACATCAATGTGCATAGCAGCTCAATTCACAATAGCTAAACTGTGGAACCAACAATGGAGTATTACTCAGCATTAAAAGAGAATAAAATCATGGCATTTGCAGGTAAATAGATGGAGTTGGAGAATATAATGCTAAGTGAAGTAAGCCAATCCCAAAACACCAAAGGCCGAATGTTTTCTCTGATATAAGGATGCTGATGCATAATGGGGATGGGGAGAAGCCTGAGAGGAATAGACAAACTCTAGAAAGGGGAAAGGGGAGCAAAGGGAAGGGAGGGGGCATGGGGGTAGGAAAGGCAGTGGAATGAGATGGACATTATTACTCTAAGTATGTGTATGAAGACACGAATGGTGTGACTTTACATTGTGTACAAATAGAGATATGAAAAATTGTACTATATATGTGTAATATGAATTGAAATGCATTCTGCTGTCTTATATAACAAACTAGAATAAATTTAAAAAAAGAAAAAA